TATAAACTAGAATCATTGTTTGGTTTTGTCCGCTAAGTAATGTATAAACTAGAATCATTGTTTGGTTTTGTCCGCTAAGTAATGTATAAACTAGAATCATTGTTTGGTTTTGTCCGCTAACTAATGTATAAACTAGAATCATTGTTTGGTTTTGTCCGTTAAGTAATGTATAAACTAAAATCATTGTTTGGTTTTGTCCGTTAAGTAATGTATAAACTAAAATTATTGTTTGGTTTTGTCCGCTAACTAATGTATAAACTAGAATCATTGTTTGTGAATTTACAACATTTTATTTTTCCAGTAGATACGGATGATCATTTATTGATTGTACATGTATCATAGCAGTAACACTGATACAGTGAATGTAATAGTAACACTGATACAGTGAATGTAATAAATCTGATGTTCTATTGCTTTGATTAGTTGGTTGATATAATGCTAATCAGTTAATTATCCTGATAAAGCCTTTTTCATGATGTTAGGGAAACGCATCGGTTCAAAAAATCAACTTAAAACAAAGATACGAAACCCTATAATTCGAGCGCTTTGGAAAGGTGGACCTTGCTTCTTCAGGGGCAAACTACCCTCTCATACCAAACTAGCCTGTTTGGTGTCATATTTTTTCAGGAGCTGGTGTTATCGTCTACTTAATATTAATGGCACTTTTATTTCTGTTCATCTATATATACATAAACAAAATGCTTTAAAAATTAAGCCTATGTTTTTGTTTTCCCACAAACGTGTCCTTTACTTTGTTGTTAAGCACAAAGCTACACAATGGGCTATCGAATCCCAAGTTTTAGCGTTATAAGTCCTCAAGCTTCTACATCACCGTTGGTATTTACTTAACAACGGAGATTAAGAAATAGTAAAAGCGATCAAATAAGAATTTTTAACTATGCAGGTGTTATTGAAACATGCACAATGATGATCCCACAAACAAACAAGCATAGATTATACACATTTTTAACTCAAAATAGTAATCATATATAAATTAAATTGGTGTTTTAGAACGCTATAGCATGAAAGTAACAAGAGCTGGACTTTTAATTTTTGTGTAGTATTTCCGTCATTGTCTGCTCGTACACAGTACATAACAAAGGAACCTTTCTTGTAATAAGCGTGTTAATGAACCACTAAATTTGAAAATGAAATTTCCGAATGGCTGCTACTAAAACCAAAACTAAATCTATTTCTTCGAAATTTCTATACAAGTTATTGCCTTATGATGTTTTTTAGTTTGTTTTATTTCAGCTGTTGGAGAGCTTCAGTGTCTATCCCTAAACAACGTTTTCTCTCTTCTATTTTCTCGATAATAGTGTTACACATCCATTTACGTTGAATGTGATTAGTCCAGTAACCCATGCAATCATAGAGCTACAGGAGGAAGGCCTCATACACTGCTGGGCATTTTTGAATAGAGATACGCAAGCAGGAAAATCTTCTGCACCAAGCCTACTGTTGTGTTCTACATCAGTTTTGTCCCTTCAATCTCGTCTCACCTTTCAATAAAATCCCCATATAACGGAGCATCAAATCCGGCTTGAAGGTGAAAACAGATTTGATTCTATTTGACCTAACCTTCAAGCCGGGCATCTAATCTCTCGCAAAAATAAAGAAGTCTTTGTGCGTGGACAGAGAATTAGCTCACGAGGTACAAATCTCAGCAAAAGCTGAGCTGTCTCTAAAAACACGAAACTCAAGGTAACACGAGCCATTCTCTGTATATATATCCAACTAAACTTTTACATTGTAAAACACTAAACCTAAGTAAACTTCGTGTAATTTTGTTACATTCTTCTATTGTACGATAAGTTAAATCAGAAACACCTGGTTACGCACAGCCAGTTAAATATACTTAAAGCAAGTCACAAGAACAACAAACACTAATAAGACTCGTCCATCATTCATATATTACATCAAAAACCGCTAATGAACAAGACCGGCCAATTTTCCATATACAGAGGGTTATATACCGAATGCATACTAAATCGATAATCAATATTAACAAGATCCGTTCTTCAACCACATACAGAAATGTACACCCGATCGGTAACCACAAGTAAACAAGACCCTTGTATCATCCATATACAGGGGTGTATACTACACTGATAACCACTAGTAAACAAAATCCTTCTATTATCTATATACAGAGGTAAATACAAAGTAGATAGCACCATTAGTAAACAAGACAGTTTTATCATCTACATACATAGGTATATACAAAGTAGATAACACCATTAGTAAACAAGACAGTTTTATCATCTACATACATAGGTGTATACAGAGTAGATAACACTATTAGTAAACAAGACAGTTTTATCATCTACATACAAAGGTGTATACAGAGTAGACAACACCACCAGTAAACAAGACAGTTTTATCATCTACATACAGAGTTATATACAAAGTAGACAACACCATTAGTAAACAAAACAGTTTTATCATCTACATAAAGAGGTGTATACAGAGTAGATAACACCATTAGTAAACAAGACAGTTTTATCATCTACATACAAAGGTGTATACAGAGTAGACAACACCACCAGTAAACAAGACAGTTTTATCATCTATATACAAAGTAGACAACACCATTAGTAAACAAGACAGTTTTATCATCTACATACAGAGGTGTATACAGAGTAGATAACACCATTAGTAAACAAGACAGTTTTATCATCTACATACATAGGTGTATACAGAGTAGATAACACTATTAGTAAACAAGACAGTTTTATCATCTACATACAAAGGTGTATACAGAGTAGACAACACCACCAGTAAACAAGACCGTTTTATCATCTATATACAAAGTAGACAACACCATTAGTAAACAAGACAGTTTTATCATCTACATACAGAGGTGTATACAGAGTAGATAACACCATTAGTAAACAAGACAGTTTTATCATCTACATACAGAGTTATATACAAAGTACACAACACCACTAGTAAACAAGACAGTTTTATCATCTACATACAAAGGTATATACAGAGTAGATAACACCACTAGTAAACAAGACAGTTTTATCATCTACATACAAAGGTATATACAGAGTAGATAACACCACTAGTAAACA